AGCGCAAAACAAAGACCATTACTAGACTCCCCGTGGCGAGCTACATCGAATCGATACCCATTTTATGCAAAAATATCAACTTTGAAATTTGACTTAACCGGCGCCCCGTTGAAGTCTGATAGGTTCCACGTCCTGTGTGGGGGGGGGGGGAGGGCAAAGGGCCCCCGTCGTATCTCCGGAACCAAAAGCCGGATCGGAAAAGTTCAAGCGCCACTTAACCCGCGCCCTGGTGGGGTCTGTTTATAACGCGACCTGGTGGGGGGGGGCTATTTTTTGCCCCCCCCCCTCGTATCTCCGAAACTACTGGACGGATCCGCAAAATTCAAACGACGTTCGAAAGGCCTGTCAAATTTGTCGAGGAAAACCAAATTTCATTGACCTCGGGGTCACCGATGACGTCACAGGTAAGGTCAAAGATGACATGTTTCACCGTTCACGGGTCTTCTAGGGAATGCGCTATAACACCGAGGAAAACGCATTTTGTCGAGAATCAGCGATAGGGCGTCAGTTGCCTAGTAGATATGTTGCTATTAGAGGTCACTGACAATACCAGGTCAGGTCACAGGTCAGGTCACCAAGGGTCACAGGTCAGGTCACATGAGCCCAACTTTACTAAGGTTGTGTGATGCATGTTTTATGGCCAATTTTTCATTTCCAACTCAATGGTGTTGGTTATAAGACTATCAGGTACGGCTTAGGTCACTTTCTGGTGAAGTTCAGGTCAAGGTCAGGTCAAGGTCAGGCCAAAAAGGTCAAATTTTGAAGTTGATAGTTTTGCATAAAATGGGTATTGATTCGATGCAGCTCGTCACAGGGAGTCTAATGGTGGTCTTTTTTTTGCGCTACGGGGTCTAGAATTGCCAAAAATTGAGTTTGAAAATTTGACGTCATCAATTTTGAACGGTTTTTTCGCTATAACTTCGCCAAAAAAAGAGGTATCGATCTCAAATTTGGTAGGTGGATGGAAGGCGGTAAAGACTATCACACATAATCCGTTTTTTGCGAAATTCAAAAAACTTTTTGGATTTTTCGATTATTATATCCAAAAAAATTATTTTTTGATTTTTGGGGGTCAAAACCAAGAAATTTCAAAAATCCGAGATAGCAGTTTTGTAGCCCTGTCAATTTTACAGCTTTTATGTCTTAATCATTTTTCTGTATTTGCAAAGCTATAGGCCTGACAGCTCTTCCCGCAAAACCCTTTTTTGGGTCAAAAACGGCAGAACATGACGTCACTCTGACGTCATTTCCGGCCAACTTATCATAGCCTTTGGAAAAATGTTTGGTCACAATGTGTAAAATTGATGTCCAGGAGGGTACTGAAAGTTTGGTAACGATCGGCGCAGCGGTTCTGGAGATATATCGAAAAGTCTGGAGGGGGGGGGGAGCAAAAAATAGCGGGGCAAAAAATAGCCCCCCCCCCACCAGGTCGCGGGTTAAAAGAGCTCATCGGGATGCACAAGATAGGATATCGATTACCTTGATATTTGACCTGTGCCGTCACAGGGATGTCAAACTACTATGAACGTCAAACCCCTTGAGACCCCACTTTTTTGCGATAATTTTTAAATGCGTCAATTTTCGTGGACAAAATTCTGGCAATGTATGTTTCCGAACCTGCCGAAACTTTTATTACTATGGTATTTTGACGCCAAATGATTATGAAAGGTACTTCTCATTCACTCGTAATGTTAACCCTCGCCGGACCTATTGGTTTTCTACATACGCGCCGGCCGAGGGGGGGGGGGGCGGGTACGACCCCCCCCCTCGCCGTTTCGCCCCTGGTGGAGCTAGCGCGTCGCGGAAAAAACGAGCGTGTGCGCCGTTACGAGACGCAGAGATTGGTACCCGATTTTAAGGTCCTAGGTCAACCGGTGACCTCTGAGGTCAGGTCAAGTTCCCCAGGGTACGGTTCAGTTTTTGGTGAATAACTTCGCAAAAAACGGCCGCAGAGCGCCGATTTTGGCAGCATCGTGTTCGCCTCGCTCAGGCGCGTCGAATGATATACTTTTTGTCCGGGTCAGGTCAACTTGGGGTGTTGACCTCAGGTCAAGGTCAGGTCATCACCCCCAGGTCACGAAGTTGGTCGAAAGAGGTCATGTCGCATATCATTCGATTCGGCAGGCCTTCCTGAGTCCATTGGTGCCTTTCCCGACTCGCTAGCTCAATTTGATCAAGAGTTATTGACGAAAAACTAATTTGACCTTGATGACGTCATAAATGACGTCACGCAAGGTCAACATTGCAAAAGTGACGCATCTAACCTTGCAAGGAGTGCATCAAATCACGATTCTGTGTGCTTGAGATAGTTAGAGATCGTTCCCGGCGCCAGAATAGCAGTTTGAATTTTTCCCCATTGACTTATAATGGTGAGGTCACGAAAATGACCTGACCTCATATGACCTTTAGGAAAAATCCGAGATATACAAGTTGTGGGACTCATAATGGATACTAGATCCTGCAAGTTTCATTTCCCTGTGACATCTCCTCTGGCAGTGAGGGCGTTGCGAAGTTGCGACATCTGAAGACCGTGCAGAGGTTCACTTATGACGTCATAGGTCAGTGACCTGACCTGACCCAAAAATGCGGTTGGTGTCAAAAGATGCGGCTTGGATCAAAGGTCAGGTATGCCAAGTTTCAGCTCTCTATCGCCAGCGTGTTCGGAGCTATCGCGAAAAAACCCTATGGGGGGGGGCGGCACCCGCCCCCCCCCCCCTCGGCCGGCGAGGGTTAAGGTCAATTCAGGCCCGGGCAGAGGCTTGCGCTCGGCCACACTCGAGCCCCGCCACCAGCGCCATCTGCTCTAAATGCCAGCTACCAGCGCCCGCTACCGCTACCAGCTACCGCCCACCATCAAGCCTGAATGGAGCGGGAGACGCGAGTGACCGGTCGCCGGGCAAGAAGCGCCGGAGGGGTAGGGCGGAGCTTAGCGCTGACGTCATTACGTGGCTCCGCCCCATGAGAGCGTAGCCTCTACCCAAACAGCAGATTCGTTCCGTGAAATTTAACATTACGAGTGAATGAGAAGTACCTTTAATAATCGTTTGGCGTCAAAATACCTTAGTAATAAAAGTTTCGGCAGGTTCTGAAACACACATTGCCAGAATATTGTCAACGAGAGTTGACGCATTTAAAAATTATCGCAAAAAAGTGGGGTCTCAAGTGGTTTGACGTCCATAGTAGGTCAAATCAGTCCAGTTTGCAATGACGAGAAGTCGGTCATAAAAATGAAATCTAAGTTTTCAAAATGAATTTGGATATGATGTATAGGTATGATAGATCTCGCATGCTGATAGTCACCTGAGTGGATGATGACCTGTGACGTCACAACAGGGGTCAGCCTCGACCAATCAGAAAACACTTTGATGAATGGTAAGGAGAGGCATGCTAAGCTGTGAATATTCGAGTATTTATGAAGACATGTGATACATATGCATCCACAGAAACCTCCTTCACCATTTTTCTTTGACCTATGACGTCACAGGAAGGTCAAATAAGGTCACATTGTACCGGTTTATAACGAAAAACATTTTTTGCGTAATAGTGACTTTAGTCACGTAAAGGATCATCTTTAGTCAGCAAAATGTTGATAATAATCATAAATATTACTCCTGACTGATTTCAAGCACAAATATCAAAAATATTGTGACGTCATAAGAACAGTCGCTACTTTTTTAGTCATTCCAATCGCTATATGCTATATCTCAAGAAGTTTAGAGATATTTTGTTAATATTTGGCATGTGTAAAGCCAGTATTATGCACAGGGGTTTTCTAACATATATTCCGGTTTTATGAAAATCTCCAAATTTCAAAATATCTCAAGAAATCTCCTAAATGTTGAGTTAGAGAATCCCTAGATCTAGAGATTTTCATATTTTGGAAATTTTGAGATAGCCATTTTGTTTGCCATGCTTGTTTATACCTCCGGTCCAATTTTTGAGCCGCTAAGTTGAAAGCGTGACCTGAGATGACCTGGGACCTAATATTTTCAGGACTTGTGTAAAATTGATGTCCGAAGAGGTACTAATAGTTTCAAGTCGAAATTCGCAGCCGGTTCTCAGTTATCTCCGAAAAACCACAGGGGGGGGGCCTTTGCTCCCCCCCCCAACGGGTCCCGGGTTAATCTGACCTGACATTGACCTGACCTTCACCAGAATAGAGCCTTAACTGGCCTTAAAGGCTGGCTGACCCACATAATTGCATTTGCGATGTAAAATGGACCATGAAACATGTAAAGACTTGCTCAGCTCCATCAGTTCACTCTGTATTGGCTCAAGCCATATCAAGCGAGCGCAATACAAACGAGAGCACCAGACAGCGCAGCGGTCCCCAACTCACTCCGCGCCCAGTCCACCCGGGCCGCCGCCACGACGGCCCCCGGCAAGTAGGCAGCCCGCACCGCACAGACAGCAGCGGGCGGCCAGCTGACCGGCCAGCTGACCGGCCAGCAGCCGGCGGGCGGCAAGCCGCGGACGGCCGACCCGCCGGCGCGGCGAGGGAGGGGAGGGGCGCAGCTCAAAGACCTGACTACACCCGACGCACCGATGCAAAAAACCCCTGGCCGGTCACGAGTCACCAGCCAATGCGACACCCAAGCACATCACAATAGCCAAGTCATCACAATTAACATAACAGGCAGAGTCTCCCCAGTGCTCCTCGCGAGCAGCGCACTCACTACCAGGCCAGCCGCACGGCTCACTCACTGAATAGTCCACAGTTCGAGCGCGACTCTCGAACAGCCCACTACGCACACAACGCACTACGCAAACAGTGCACTACGCGAACAGCGCACTACGCAAACAGCGCACTACGCAAACAGCGCACTACGCGAACAGCGCACTACGCGAACAGCGCACTACGCGAACAGGACACTACACGAACAGCGCGCTACACAAACGCAAAGGCTGTCCCTCCAACGCATCCAACGCACCTCGCGAGCGGCGCTGTCCCTCCAACGCACCTCGCGAGCGGCACACACGCACACAAAAACCTTGCTGCGTCAGTCCCGGGTCGGCACAGGCGTCAGCTCGACTGGCGCGCCGTCCCGCCATGACTGACCCTGGTAGCAGCCAGTCTGCGCGTTGCCGTCGTATCCCTGGCGGCAGCTGCAGATGGCCCGGTGGTTGATGACGTTGCAGTCGGCGTTGTCTCCGCAGTTGCACGGCGAGCGGCACTGGCGGTTCTGGCAGCTCTGCTGGGCCAGGCAGTCGTCGTTGCTCTGGCAGCCTGCCACCGGCGGCTGCTCCGGCTGCGGCACGCACTGGATGAACGGGTTGCCGATGTGGCGCGGCGGGCAGCTGCAGATGGCGCCGTGGTTGCGCACCTCGCAGCGCGCGTTGGGCGCGCACGGGCTGCGCACGTCGCACGGGCTCTGGCAGCGGCTGCTGATGCACGCCTGGTCGAAGCGGCACTGACTGTTGGAGACGCACTCGGGCCGCACGATCGGAGGCTGTGGCGTCGGCGGCTCTGTAAACGAGATGGCCCGGTCAGTCGTCATGCTCTACAATCAGCTACGTTGCAACGGACACTTGAGGCACCTGTTCAAGTCTCCAATGTAAATGTTTGATCGTATTTTATCGGCGATGTGGAGGGTAGACGTTACCAAGCCCGTCAGACACATCCGTTTGAGTGAAGCGGCTCACCTCTCTGGCAGGCGTTGTACTGGCTCTGGACGTAGCCGGGCGGGCAGCGGCACACGGCGCGGTGCTGCTTCGGCTCGCAGATGGCGTTGGCGCCGCACGGGTCCGGTCGGCAGACGGGCATGCAGTTGGCGCGCTGGCACTGCTCGTCCTGACTGCAGTCCGAGTCGACCGTGCACTCGGGCTCAGCCACCACCGGGGTGATGCACAGGCCCGAGCTGTCCAGCATCATGTCGGCCGGGCAGCGGCACACCAGGGTGCGGAACGGCGCCGTGTTCTGCACGGAACAGAGCTGGCCGCCGCGGCACGGGCTGATGCTGGCGCACGGGTCCTGGCAGCGCTCGGCGAGACAGGCCAGGCCCGGCGCGCAGTCCGTGTCCACCACGCACACTGGCGCTGGCACTCGCGGCTCGTCTGAAACGCGCACCGAGCAGGGAGGCCACAGGTCAGACGGCGCAATGGGTAATTTGACTAAAAAAAAATAAACAATCACCATTATAAACTTGTCGAGATAGTTCCGGAACTATGCAGGGACATCACTATATCGTTATTTCGTTCCACGAAGGCGGCGGCACGGCACTCACCCTTGATGCACTGGAAGAAGGCGTTGCCGTTGTAGCCGGGCGGGCACGTGCACTGCGCCTGGTGGTCGTCGGCCGTACAGGTGGCCAAGGAGGCGCACGTTCCGGTGCTGCAGACGGCCACGCACGCACCGCTGCGCGTCTCGCAGCGCTGGTGGTCGGCGCAGTCATCGTTGACGCGGCAGCCGACGTCGACGCAGGCCAGCAGCGGGTTGCCCTGGGTGCCCGGCGGGCAGTAGCACTGGGCGCGGTGCACGGTGACGCGGCACTCTGCGCGCCGGCCGCAGGACGTCGTCTGGCACGGGTCGCGGCAGTTCTCGGAGATGCAGGCGCGGTCGCGCGGGCAGTCGTCGTCGCGCGTGCACTCGGCTGTCGAAGGAGAGACGAGGCGAGGACGGCGGGTCAGCCGCGGCAGGCGTCGGCGCTCCGTTAGTCGGCGTTAGCCTGGGGGCAGAGGAGGTCGCGCGCGCGCCGTGGCGGCGGCGACAAGCGAGGGCGGCCAGCGCCGGCGGAGCACTCACCTGGTCGGCGAGCGGCTCCGTCGGTCGGCTGGCAAGCGTTAGTGGATGGCACCCGTCTCGGCACGGAGGGCAGGAGAGCAGGGGGCGGCGAGGACGGTCGGCAGGACGTGTTAGTGTGCGGCGGCGGCGTCTGGGCCGCGGCGGCGGTACTCACGCCTGTAGCAGCGGCTGAACGGGTCGCCGAGGTAGCCGGCCGGGCAGGTGCAGTACGGCCGGTGGCTGACGGTGCGGCAGTTGGCGTTGGTGCCGCACGGGCTGGAGGTGCGGCACGGGTCCACGCAACGCTGCTGCTGGCACGCCTGGGTGTCGGCGCAGTCCGTGTCCCGCCTGCACTCCGGCTCCGCCTCCGGCACTGCGGACACAACACTCTGTCAGTGTCAGCGAGGAGCACTCCGTCAATGTCAGCGAGGCACACCCGGGCGGGAACCCACACGGCGGCTCCGGCAGACGAGGACCCCGCGGAACTGTGTCTTTCACAGAGAAATCTTAAGATTCGCCGAATGAATTAGAGGTGGTAAATCTGCCGATATGCACTGGAGCTGGGTACCATTTCTCTTGAACATGCTGAAACGGAAGACACCATCACCAGGCTGCCCATCACGCTGTTCCTCGATTAGTATCTACATCGCGGAGTGACGTTACCTGGCGCGCAGCCGACATTGGGGTCCCCTGTGGTGCCGTTGGGACAATAGCAGTAGGGCACGTGCTGGTAGGGCCGGCACGTGGCCGTCTCTGGGCACGAGTTGGCCACGAGACACGGGTTCTGGCACCGCTCGTCCAGGCACGAGTTAATGTCGTTGCAGTCGGCGGCGGCCTGGCACCGGCGGCTGGGTCGAGGCAGGGCTGCGGCGGCCGGGCGGGGCAGACCCCGGTTAGTGGGCGCGGTACAGCGGTGTGCTGCTCCAATTAGTTAGTGGACGCAGTTAGCAGGGAGTGGCTTAGGCGCGTTATGTACACGGTTATGCATTATTAATCAGCCATCTAATGGTTATGTGCATGGTTACTGCGGGGTCGCTAGTATGTAGGTGCAAGCTTCTATTTAGTCGGGGCTAGAAGCGGGAGGGGCAGGTAAAGTCTCAGTTTCTAGCAAATGTGCAATATTGCTAGGTTATAATTATTAATTATTATTATTACTGAGCTAGGTACCGAAATGATCGCTATCTGTGATTGTCCCATTGGCACAACGGGGTGGGTTAGGTTAGTTAGCAGTTAGCATTGAACATAATGGTCAGCAGCGGGCGGGACAGTTTAGCGGGCGTCTGTCACCGAGTTTATTGTCCGCGGTATTACGCAAGGCGCGTTCCGTCTGGCCGTCCGCGGGCCACTTACCCTGGTAACAGCCCGTGTACGGGCTGCCCACGTAGTCGTCCGGACACTCGCACGTGGCGGCGTGGTTGGCCACGCGGCATATGGCGTTGGCCGCGCACGGGTTGGCCACGCGGCACGGGTCGACACAGGCGCGGTTGCGGCAGGCCTCGGACGGCGGACACTCGGAGTTGTCGGTGCAGCCGGGTGCCTCAGTGGGCGCTGCGCGACACAGGACAGCGGTCAGCGGGGCTGGGCAGGACCGGCGCCGACCTGAAATAGGACCGGTCACCACACACGCACACATACGAGCGATAACGCAGCCGTGGCATGTTGTTAACACGAGGATAGATGAGCCTGGAGGATGAAGGAGCCTGAAATAAAGATGCGATGTTAGTGTGATGAACATTCGTAACATAGGTTAACGCAAAGTACCTATCCATATTGTTGTAACAGTATGTTTGATGGTGCCTCACTCTATTTGTATTTTATGTAATTGACGGAACGCATAGTAATTTTATCTCGCGCTAAAACACGCTGATGGAAAATTTGATGTGCAGATTTGGGGAGAATAAAGACAGTCGGTTTTTGGAGAAAGTTAACCGTCTTTTATATTCTATTTATATTTTATATTACAAGCTATTTCGGCATTTTTTCCTTGAATATACGGGTGGTAAAATGGCTCCAAAGAAACGTAAAGCTAACGATGACGAGTATATCGATGCGATCGATGATTATTCCGGCAAGGAAGACGTCGTACGGTGGCTGAACCGAACTGAAATACTGTGCGAGCTGCAGGGCAGTGATATTATGAGGATCCTGCCTCTGAAGTTGAAAGGTGATGCATTCACTGTTTATGCACAGTTGCCAGCGAGAGATCGAACGTCGTACGAGTCGGTGAAGGACGCACTGCAGTCTGCGTTTGCGCCAGATCCCCTTGGGGCGTATGAAGAGTTTGTGGCTCGGAAGCTCAGACCAGGTGAAGCAGTGGATGTTTTCCTGGCAGACCTCCGGCGACTGTCCACACTTTTTGGAGGTGTTTCAGATCGGACCCTTCTGTGCTCTTTTATCTCTGGTCTTCCACTATACGTGCGTGAAGCAATCGGCGCCAGCTATCGAGTGCAGGACCTGAGCATCGAGAGCGCCTTGAGCAGTGCCCGACGGGCCGTGAAGAATGACCCGGCGATGGCAGCCGCGGCGGCAGGAGAGCGCCTCACGCGGGCACAGAGAAACAATCACGAAACGACGGCTGAGCCATCTAGAGCTGCGAGACGTGTGACAAGACGGTGCTGGGTGTGCGGCGAACCCAACCATTTGGCGTCTCGGTGCCCCGTCCGTTCGGGAAACGGCGTGGGAGATGGTGTGTCAGCGCCGGCGTCATCTCCCGCGCAGTGACGGGTGGCGCTCTGCCGGTCGTAGACCTGACTGTTGACGGGCACAGGTGCCGAGCTCTGGTGGATTCTGGCTGCACAGAGAACCTGGTTTACAAGTCTGTGTGTGAGGCGTGGCGGCCTCAGAGAACAGCGGTAACGTCGATGAGTGGAGACCCGTTTTTCTCCAGTGGGGTTGGAACTGTGCAGCTGAGAACGTGTTCCGGGCAGTCGGCGAATGTTTCTGTGCTGGTTCTTGATGACAAACCGATGGGTGTCGAGATGGTACTCGGAGTGCCCGCCATCTCGGCTCTGGGTGGCGATGATTGCATCCCCCTCTGATGTCAAGTTCTGTGGGAAGCCGACTACGCCGCCCACTCCACCAGGCCTTGAAGATGAATTGGTGGTGGACACGCCCGATTTCTCAGTACGGTTTGATGCCGACCAACGAGCGTGGACGATGTCGTGTAAGTGGGAAGATGGAGCTGAGCCAGCCAGTCTATCCAGCAGTGTGCCTGAGTATGCCATGTCAGCAGAAGCCAGGCAGGAATTTGAAGCCGAACTTCAGACTTGGATAGACAATGGATGGCTAATTCCATACGATCAGTCCGTCTATGGCCCTCCCCGTGGACTGTTGCCGCTGATGGCTGTGGAGCAGGGCAGTAAGTGCATCCCTCTGCTGCATTCTTCCAGAATCTTTCTGTCTTTGATAATAAACATTGTGTGTGTGTGTGTGTGTGTGTGTGTGCAAGGTGCGACCCTGTCTGGACTACCGTCAGTTGAACAGCCACGTACCTGCGCACACAGCAGAGGCCGACGTCTGCACAGACACGCTGCGGAGGTGGCGCCGCCACGGTAAGAATCTCGCCGTGGTGGATTTGAAGCGAGCTTACCTGCAGATTCGCACAGACCAGCGCCTTTGGCCATTTCAGACCGTGATTGTCGGCGGACGGCGTTATGCGTTGACGAGGGTCGGGTCCGGATTGAACGTGGCCCCGCTGATGATGAAGAAGGTGGTGCAAGCGGTCCTCAGCCAAGACGCCGATGTGGAGCGCGCCACAATACCTACCGTATGTGGACGACCTGTGTGTCGATGAGGACATTGTTACGGCCGATCGTGTAGTGGAGCACTTCTTTAAGTACGGCCTGGAGTGCAAGCCTCCAGCGAGAGTCCAGGACGGAGCACGGCTGCTGGGCCTGCGGGTTGGTGTCGCAGGAGACGGTGATCTCCACTGGACTCGGGATAACGCAGTCGGTGCCCCTCCTGACGTCATGACACGCCGCACTGTGTTCTCCTGGTGCGGACGTCTGGTGGCGCACATGCCAGTGTGCGGCTGGCTGAGGCCGGCAGCGGCCTGGCTGAAACGTCGAGTCAATGCTGTGACTCACCACTGGGACGATGTTACCGACGATCCAGAGCTGCGCGAGCAGATGATGTACGTGGCTGAGCGGATGGTGAAGGATGATCCAGCGCGAGGTCACTGGCACGTCAGTGGAGACAGTGCTGTCGTGTGGACGGACGCCTCCTCTGTGGCGGCGGGAATCGCTCTGGAGACGCAAGATGGAAACATCATCGAAGACGGATGCTGGCTTCGAAAGGATGAGACGACTCACATAAATATGGCAGAGCTCGATGCCGCCCTGCGAGGCATCAATCTAGCTATCGCCTGGGGCATGCGAGTCATCGAGCTGAAAACGGACTCGGCCACTGTTCATCGCTGGCTCGACGATGCATTAACCCGCGCCCTGGTGTGGGTCTGAGCCACCTTCGCCCTGGTGGGGGGGGGGGGCCAAAATGACCCCCCCCGTCTAACTCGAAAACGAAGAGGGCTAGGAAGACGCGGAAAAAAGCAAACGAAAGCCCATAACAAGTACGTTCGAAAGTATTTCGGTCATTTTTTCGCTAAGGTCAATATTGAGGTCGCTAGAGGTCATCATAGGTCAAATTTCAGTGTTTTCGGTGTTGCCGGACATATTCCGCTGTAGCTCGGAAACTAGAAGAGCTAGAGAGCCGCGGAAAAAAGCAATCGATAGCTCTTTTCAAGCTCTTTCGCCAAGGTTCGTCAGATTTGACCTCAGCTCAACGGTTTGGCCTACAGAGGTCATGCAAGGTCAACTTGGCAAATTTCGTTGAAAATGTTTTTAACTATAGCATGCATTCACGAGAAAATAGAGAAACGATTCATGCACCATCGTGCTTGGCTCGTCGAGACGCGTCGAATGATATATAGTTTGACCTCGAAAGGTCATTTTGAAAATTTGACCTCAGGTCAAGGTCATGACCTTACCGAAATAGGTCATGCTGCATATCATTCGATCCGCATTGACGAGACAAACACGATAAACGTCGAACGGAGTCTCTATCTCTATTCAATAACAAGTAAGTGCAGAAAAACCGCTGGTGACCTCTGGTGACCAGGGAGATGACCTAGCGTGACCTCAGCGAGGTCACAAGCAAATGGTTTCACATGGGCTGTGATTTGCTGACCCAAGACACTTCAATAACGAAATATAGGAACAATCACGCCCGATTTAGCTGAAAAACAACTACTTTTCGATTCTCCCATTGACTTATAATGGGGAGCAGCGATGACCTGACCTGACCTTAGGTCACATTTATAAAAAATCCGAGATAGCCATTTTGTAGAGCTGGGTGACATCTTCAAGTACTGTAAATTTTACATCGATCGGATAAAAGCTGTGCCTTTGAGAGAGCTTTGAACTTTTTTAGAGGTGGTGTCAGTTTTGGTGACCTTGTGACCTGACCTGACCTGACCCGAACCCCCCAAAAAAGGACATGATGTAAAAATGTTGAATAAACAGCTATACAAAGTTTCAGGGCGCTAACTCAAGTGGTTTCTGAGTTATCGCTGAAAAACCACAGGGGGGGGGCCAAAATGCCCCCCCCCCCCCACCAGGGCGAAGGTTAAGTAGCCGAGCACGTCTCCGCACTAAGGCCCACGGGGAAATGCTGATACGGCGCCGAGTCGACATAGTCAAGCAGTTGGTGGCCGAATTCAACCTGCATCTGACAGTGACTCTGGTGAAGTCGGCGGACAACAAAGCGAACTGCCTCAGCCGGGTTCCCGCTCAGTGGCTGCGCGGTCCACTGAACGGAGAGTCCGCTGGGACGTGTGGTGCTGCGGTGAATGCTGAGTGCACCAGCGGTGATGAAGATAGCTCCAGCACGAGCGGTGATGGCGGCGATGGCGTCGGGGCAGATGGGACCGAGGACGAAGAAAGAGGACGGCGAGCAGCGGTTCGCGAGGTGCACACCCGCGCAGGCCATCCTGGAGTACGGAGAACGCTGTTCTTCGCTCGGCGCGAGATTTCTCCGAACATTACGAGGAGTGAGGCGCGTGCTGTCGTGTCCCACTGTGACGCATGTAGGTCTATCGACCCAGCACCAGTTACATAAGTGGAAGCCTGGGAAGCTGGAGGTGAACGAGTCCTGGACTAGGCTGGCGATTGACGTCACGCACCACCAGCGCAGTCTGTACCTGTCGGTGGTCGACTGCGGTCCTTCGAGGTTCAGTTTGTGGAGATTGCTTCGAAGGGCAGATTCAGCGCACGTCATTGAAGAGCTGCATCGAATTTTCAATGAACGTGGAGCTCCAGAAGAGATCCTGGCGGATAATGATACCGCCTTTCGCAGTCGGGCGTTTGCAGTGTTCGCGGCAAAGTGGAAAATTCGGCTGAGGTTCCGCGCCGTCTACCGCCCAAGTGGAAATGGTGTGGTAGAGAGGAATCATCGGACCGTGAAGGTCATAGCCGCAAGAACAGGGTGCACCGTTGGCGATGCCGTGCATCTTTACAACGTAACACCTCAGGACGGACAGAGCTCGGCTACGACACCAGCCGGACAGATCTACCGGTACTCGGTCAGGGACAGCGTGAGGACAGTCACTGGCACTGGTGGTGATCCAGCGGACGGCAGCGGTCCGGAGGGCACGGACAGCGCCTACACTGTCGGGGACGCCGTGTGGGTCCGACAGCCTGGATCACGCTGTGGTGATAGGTCGCAGCCGGGTGTTGTTACCAGGGTGCCGTCACTTCATATTGTGGAAGTGGACGGGACCTCATGGCACGTTGGTGATGTTCGGCACCGCAGTGAGAGTGACCCTTGAAGGTCAGGGGGTGGTGTTTGATGGTGCCTCACTCTATTTGTATTTTATGTAATTGACGGAACGCATCCGTCTTTTATATTCTATTTATATTTTATATTACACAGTAGTAATAATGTTAGCCAAGCGGTCCATAACACTCACACATTCACAGAAGGATAATGGGTGGGACTGAGGACCCTGTAATAGAAGCACACGTCAGCTGGTCATATGCGAGCAGGCAGGATATGGTGACAAGGATGAAGGTTCGTTAATCGTTACTGATGTCGCGTTGTTAGCGTGTTAAGCATCTGTGAACATACAGACACGCACGGTTAATTACCCATAGATGACAGCATTCGGGGTGCTGCCGACACATTTTCGCACATTTTACGTAACACAAGGTCCCCGTATGGCCCCTGCTCATTGCAATTGGCTCTCGGAATCCCAAAACAAGTTCCGTTGCGGTTGAGCTAATTAGCAAGATAATCTGAGCCGCTGATGGTGGTTCGAGCCAGCGTCGGCGGTTGGGAAAGGGAGGGGGGACTCACGGGGTCGGCACTCGACGTCTGGGTCGCCGATGAAGCCTGGCAGGCAATGACAGAGCATGGTCCTCGCCGGCAGGCTGTCCACCACGCGGCACTCGGCGTTCAGGCCGCACGGCTGGATGGCCTGGCACGGGTTGACGCACCGGTGGCCCATGCACGCGTGCCGCGACGGACACTCGGCGTCGGTGGTGCACTCGTGGCGCGGCTCGTCCGGAACTGCGGGCGGCCAGAGACGGCGTCAGAGACATTCACCAGCACTGCGTCAGTTCCGGGCCATCGGCAGTGGTAAGTACTCGGTGTTATATTTATTTAACGATGTTCACATGAATGTTTCGATGAGGAAATTTGCGGCAATTTACACCCATTGCGTATCTGACTTTGTTTAAAGTTATGCTCCTAGGGAAACGACGAGATGTCATGTCACTTACCGAATAAGTCAAAGATAGTGAACGGTGCGTATGGCAACCTACCCTCAAGCGGCAGTTGACGTTTGATCGCCACGTCTGTCGTTCGCACTCACCGGGGCTGCAGGAGACGGTCGGTTCGCCCGTGTACCCGGGCGGGCAGCTGCAGCTGGCGCGGTGGTTGATGGCGCGACACTCGGCCAGACGGCCGCAGGCGTCCGTGCACACGGGCACGCACCGCTCGTCGCGGCAGGCGTGCGAGAACGGACACTGCTGGTCGGAGGTGCACTCGGGCTGCCGGCAGCCGGTGTACGGGTCGCCCAGCGTGCCCGGCAGACACTCGCAGCGCGCCTGGTGGTTGAAGGCGCGGCAGCGCGCGTTGGCGCCGCAGCTCTGGAAGGCGCACACGTCCTGACACTGGCGGTTGATGCACGCCTCTGTGGACGGGCAGTCCGAGTTGGAGCGGCAGCCGAGCTCATAGCAGAGCACGTTCGGGTTTCCGGTCATGCTGTCCGGGCAGGAGCACACCTGGCGGTGACGGATCACGCGGCAGACGGCATTGCTGGCGCACACGCTCGGGTAGAGCGCGCACGGGTTCTGGCAGCGCTCGCTGATGCAGGACTGCGTGAGTGAACAGTCGTCGTCCTCCTCACACTCGGGCTTGACGCTGGGCACCACGACAGGCGCCTGGGACCGTTCGCGGCACTGCACGTGCGGGTTGCCCTCGAGCGGCTGCGGGCACGAGCACTGCGCCCGGTGGTTGTACACGTCGCAGACGGCGGCCACGCCGCAGCGGCCGATGCACGGATTGACGCAGTGCAGGTTCACGCAGGCCATGGTATTGGAGCAGTCCGAGTCGGCCGTGCACTCTGGCTTGCATTCGACGTACGGAGAGCCGAACAGGCCGGGCGGGCACGAGCAGACGGCAGTGGTGCCGCTCACCCGACAGATGGCACCGCGGCCGCACGGCGACGGGTTGCACGGGTCGGGCGGTGCACCTGAAGGGCAGGCAAAACCGTTTGTCATACAGGTCTGTGCCTGTGATTCAATACGCACGATAGATTTTAATAGCGCAACGATGTACGACCCAATTTGATAAACGAGTATTTTTTTTTTAATGAATAAGCGTCGTTTCCCTTGTAACTAGCCGACGACGTGAACAATGGCTACATACAGTAAAACAGTATGTTTAAACATTATCAGATACTTATGCGAGATGGTAGTGTCGGACGTGGTACTCACTTGGCGCCAGGTGACACATGCGGTAAGGGTCTCCGATGTGACCCTGCGGGCAGACGCACGAGGCGATGTGGTTGACCACCTGGCAGTCGGCGTTGAGGCCGCAGTTGCACGGGTCGCGGCACTTCTGGCCGATGCAGGCCAGCTGTGGTGCACACTCTGAGTTGAGCACGCACTCGGGCCGGCATCCGACGTACGGGTCGCCCTGGTACTCTGGCAGGCAGACGCAGGCGGCGGCCGTGCCGCGCCGCTTGCAGACGGCGTTGTCGCCGCACGGTGACGGCTGGCACGGGTCGCGCGGCTGCTCGGGCACCGGCGGCGGTGTGGCCGGCACCGGTCGGCACCCGCTCGGCTGGTACGGGTCTCCCTGGTACCCCGGCGGGCAGCGGCAGCGCGGACGGTGGCCGAACACCTCGCAGATGGCGCCGCGCCCGCAGGTGCCCGGGCACGGGTCGCGGCACTTCTGACGCTGGCAGCTAAGTGTGTTGGTGCAGTCCGAGTCCGACAAGCACTCGGGCCGGCAGCTGACGTACGGGTTGCCCTGGTACTCGGGCAGACACGTGCACACAGCCACGCCGTTGTGGTTGCGGCAGCGAGCGTTCTCGGCGCATGGAGACGGGAAGCACGGGTCCTGCGGCCGCGGCGCCGGCGCTGAAACAGACACGAAGCCAGGTCAGCGCTCTGTCTGTCGGTGGGCTCCATGCAGCGTGCATTCAAGGCAGACACACATGCAGGCACGATGCTCGGCACAGTGTGTACCGACATGCTGGCAGTAAACATGAACAAACACTGGTGACAGAGCATGCAAACTTTGACGTGCAAACATTTTACAGGCATGCTAGAATACAAGGCCGAGCCGGCTTGTGACCGGTCCGGCGACGACCGGCAGAGATGATCGGCGCTGGACGGCGTCGGCGGGTGCTTACTGGAGGCGGGCACCGGCGCGCAGTAGCGCACCGGGTTGCCGGTGGTGCCTGCCGGACAGTGGCAGCGGGGCACGTGGTTGATGACGTCGCAGCGCGCCCCGGTGCCGCAGCTGCCTGGGCACGGGTCGACGCAGCGGAAGCCGATGCAGGCCAGGTGGCGTGCGCACTCTGCGTTGGTGGAGCACTCGCGGCGCGGCTGCTCCGGCTCGGCCGGGATGCACAGTGCCACGTTGTTCACCACGCGGCACGTGGCGTCGTCATCGTCATCTCCGCATGGGTTCGGGTCGCACGGGTCATTCTCCTGAGGTGCTTCTGCAGAGGGAACGCGCACGATGATGTAAGAACCGGAGAGAGCGGTGAAGTGTGTCTCGTGTCATTCTACTTATTGACCTCACCGCCGAGCATAAAATTAAGGAAATGAGCACTGAAATTTAACCCGCGCACCGACGGGGGGCGGATATCCGCCCCCCCCCCTGAGGTTTTTCGCGAATAGCGGGAAAACCGCGGCGCGTAGCGCCGCGAAATTTGGTATGACTATAACCTCATCAATTTTACACATGGTGTGCAAGTTTGAACCTCCTACCTTTTAAGGTCAGGTCACCAGGTCACTTTGAATGACCCAACCTCAAGTCACTTTTTTGCAACTTTGTCACCGTGCCAGAGCTACAGCAGATGTCGGAGGCCTTTGAAAGTCGCAGGATATTATTAGGTCATTAGTAGCTACAATTTGTATATCTCGGAATTTTGATATCGGTGACCTAAGGTCAGGTCAATTTCGCGACCTCCCCATTATAAGTCAATGGGGGAAAAATCAACTCCCTGTTTTTACCACTAAAACGGGTCGGAATGGCCCCATATACCATACATGACTTCATATACGATCAAACTTCACTACCTTGAGGTCTGTTTTGCTGTTGGGCAGCTGTGAGGTCATGTGACGTCATCAAAGGTCACCAAAGGTTTTTGGCCAATAACTCCGTACAGGAACAAGATACAGACGCGTGGATGGTCTCATTGTGTTCAGCTCGTCAAGACGCATCGAATGATATACATGATGACCTCGAGGTCACGTGACCTGAGGTCAACCTTTGACCTTGACCTTTCGAGGTCAACATATATATCATTCGATGCGGATTGACGAGAGGATCACGATGATGCCCTTAGTTTGTTCCTATCTTGACTAATTCGAAAGTTATTCGAGAAAAACTCTCTCCATATCTAGCGCCGCCATTTTGACTTTTTCGACCCCTGTGACGTCATCTTTGACCTGACCTGAAAATGACCTTTGTAAAAATTGTAGATCTTGGCCGTGCGTATCCGATGCCGTTTACCGCTTGTCGCTATCTTGCTTCGTTCTCGAGATCTCAGGGGGGGGGGCGGTCATCCGCCCCCCCCCCCCGTCGGTACTAAGTTGGCGCAGACCCCCGTCGGTGCGCGGGTTAATCATGTTCATTGTGAATATTTTTGTATAGCAAATCAATGAAACAGATCATCAAGGTTCAAAATTACCGATCCGCTAGAGCATAAACAGACACAGTGACAAGTTCCCTAAACTCACCCGGTCTCGGATAGCATCCTCGGAACGGATCGCCAATATAGCCGGGCAGGCACGTGCAGATGGGGTTGTGGGCGCGCACCACACACTGTGTGAAGGCGCCGCACGTGCCCGGGCACGGGTCGATACACTTCTCTCGGACGCAAGTCTCGTCGAACGGACAGTCGGATAGCGTGCGACACTCGGGCCGGCAGCCGACCGTCGGATCGCCAAGGTAGTCGGGCGGACACGCGCACACGCCCACGCCGTTGACGGCACGGCACGTGGCGTACGTGCCGCACGGGCTCGGAAAGCACGGGTCGCGCACCAGCGGGGGTGCAGCCGGCTTCGAGGCTGCAAGTGATGATAAAAAATATATGAATGCACGGGGAAAACTGGGGATGTGGAGATATGTCAACGAAGGAATAATACTAATGGCGTCATTGCAAAATTTAGCATAAATGTAGCTAAAATCATTGGTTGTCCAACAGGCAACTAACATAGTTGATCCACGAATACTTACTCGACGGGACCGGGTAGCAGCTGGAGAATCCGTTGCCGGTGTAGCCCGCAGGACACGAGCACATCGGGACGTGGTTGATAACACGGCAGTCGGCGTTGGGACCGCACATTCCCGGGCACGGGTCGCGACACTTGCGGTTGGAGCAGTGCTTGTCGCGCGCACAGTCATCGTCCAGGACACACTCTAGCCGACAGCCCGAGTACGGGTCTCCGAAGTACTCGTCCTGGCAGGAGCAGACGGCGACACCGTTCTTCTCCCGGCAGTAGGCGTTGGCTCCGCATGGCGACGGGTTGCATGGGTTGCCCACCACCGGCTGGCGCGGCGGCAGCGTCGTTGGTACCGGACGGCACGCGACGAACGGATCGCCCGTGTAGCCGGCCACGCACAGACAGAGCGGCGCGTGGTTCTGCATGCGGCACTCGCTATTGACGCCGCATACGCCGATGCACGGGTCGACGCACTTCTGCGAGACGCAGGCCTGGTAGCTGGGGCAATCGGAGCTGACCACACACTCTGGCCGGCAGTTGGGTGGCGCTCCCAGGTACTCCGGCAGACACGAGCATGTCGGACGACCATTTACCTCCTGGCACTGCGAGTTGGGCCCGCATGGGTTCGGGAAGCAGCCCTGTTTCGGCGTTTCCTCTGTGAAAATAGAAAGCAGTAGTCAGAGACCAGCACGATACGTAGTCTGTTGGTATTGTTGTCACGGTGAGCACCTATGATGCTAACAGTTTAGTAAGCTACTTCTAGTGAAACGCATAGAGCTTATTTTAATATTTTTTGGAAAGCTTACAAAAACATTATTTCCATTTTAAGCAAAAGAGGTTGATATAAATCAACAGCAAATGGTAGGAAGTCAAAGCAAAGAACTTATGTACGTGGAATTGGTGAGCAGTATCCGTATGCATTGCCTTGGTATCCCTGCTTGCAGTTGCATATTGGGTTGTGATTGAACACTGTGCACAGGGCGTTCGTGCCGCACACACCGGGACAAGGATCAACGCATTTCTGCTGAGAGCCACACGCCTCTGACTGGGAACAGTCGGCGTTGGTGGTGCACTCCGGGCGACAGCCGGTTACGGGATCCCCCTTGGGGAAACCCGGACGACACTTGCAAACGCCACAGCCTGTCCATCGTCATCATCGTCCTTTGCAATGCACTCGGCGTTGGGACCGCACGGGGACGGGTAGCAGGGATCGGTCTTTACCGGTTCCCTGGGTGGCTGAGGCGCCGGAACAGGGGTGCAGACAGTGAATGGGTCTCCTTGATAGCCGTCAAGGCAGTAGCACATAGCGATGTGATTGTGTACACGGCACTCTGCGCGGAAACCGCAGACGCCGGGGCACGGATCCACGCACTTGTTGCGTTCGCAGGCCTTGGAGCGATCACAGTCTGAGTGAACCACACATTCGGACTTGCAGCCCTCATACGGGTTGCCAAAGTACTCTGGTAGACAGCTGCAAACTCCAATTCCATTGTGTACGCGGCAATGGGCGTTCTGGCCACAGCCAGGGAAGCAGGGGTCGTGTGGTTGTTCAGTTCTTAGAGAAGCTGCAAGACGAGGTTCACAATGAAATCGCCACATGCTGCATTACGACTAGCATTTCAATGAAAAATTAAATGACACTTGCGCGAATATAAGTAATTCTATTTTTTTACCTACATAAGAAGCATCACATGCGTTCGCGACGCGCGGCACTAGTACAGCCGCTTTGCATCAGGGGAGACGACCTTCCAAACTGATTTTCAAAATTCGGACACCCATCGATAACTCTGCATCTGATCTGATCTATGCCAGATGAAAAGAACTCCCAAATTGAAATTGAGGGAGCTTGTAGCACAGACATCTTATAAACAGGAACGAGAGGCACTGTCGTTCACTATCTGACACTCCGAGTTAGGGCCACACGAGTTAGAGTTGGAGCCGCCGTGAGTCAGACTCGCATGGGTTCTGGGGTCGTGGAGGATCTGCTAAAAGGAGTCCAGTCATTGGTGTAAAATTTTCAGATCAGCTGCACAGAAGCATGCATTTCTGTTGCCGTTTGACTTGTAAGAGCTAACTTAGCTAATTCTTTTTAACTTAGATAGCTAATTAACTTAGATAGCTAATTAACTTAGTTAGCTAAGTCGTTGGGCTGAAATTATTTCCTCTAGTTATCATCTGTGCTTGATTCTGAATCTGGAATGGGATTTAAAATACGTCATCATCATTGCCGTTGACCCTGACTTACGCTCGACTTCCCTGGTGCCTGTTCCGGTTTCCTCCTGGTTACGTGTTGCGTTTGTCAACAGAAAAGCACCCTCTGCGTTTAAAAAGACTACGGCGACCAATAAAGCAACGAGTGGAGCGTGTCGTGCTGCTGAGGTTTCCATCTTGATGCAGAGTGTCCGCAACAGAGACTGACGTTATAGGGACATCGGCGCTATTTAAGGGAATGGGATTGGTAGGGTATGTGGTGGTTGTCGTCGTTATAATGACGCATGAAGACCTGTCCAAGTGTGTTCTGGTTTTCTCGTAACCCACTTTTGTGTGACTCAGGGAACAGCAACGTGTGCACCAGATTCAGCTAACGGATGGTGCAGGTGATGTCCCATTTAGTGGTATGCCAAGTAAAAACGGAATATGAATATTCACAAGAAGACCTTTTCGACAGACATTAGCCTGAGCCTGTTAAAGAGACCTGAGATGTTCTGTCAACAACTTTTTTCTTAAAAAGAGTTGTAGAATTTACTGTATGCCTGGCCTATTCAAATACATTAGCCTGAGAGGTGTGGTAATAACTGGTGTAAGCAAAGTGACCACGGTCAAAAACGAATTACCAAGTCAACATTTTGGGATGTCCTCGTTCAAAAAACGGCTAAGAGCTTCGGTCTAGACAATTATTTTATCGTTGGCATACAGTAAAATACATACCAAACTCGGCCGGTGATAAATTTTCAAGACCTCAGTCCTTACTGATTTTTGAACTCGGCCTTCGGCCTCGTTCAAAAATTCAGTAAGGACCTCGGTCTTGAAAATATATTTACACCGGCCTCGTTCAGTATTATATAACACTGCAATGTGCGTGCAGCCCTTCGTGAGTGGATACTTATGGTTTCTACGGTTTCTACTTATGGTTACCAAACTGTTACCGATTCCGACTCCGGAGTCAGAGTTACCGCTGCATGGCTCAACGTCATTCCCAGCACCTGTTTGCTTGATACATAGCTCGTTGGCCATTCGAAATAAAATTTTGTTGGAAGAAGCCATATTCCTGTTTTGGACGAGCGTTTTCAGCAAAAGAAGTGAAGACTTTTATTGCACCAGAGCCTGCTTTTAATTCTGCATGTCATTTGTAAACCATATT